TGTTACGTGAGCTGTGTTGGTTGCCAGTTTGCTTCCGGGTCCAATTCAAGCTGTTGTTCCCGCCCTGTGGAACAGTTTACCACCTGAAGTGCAGGCTGCCACTCTCCTGGCCTTCTGAAAAAGTGTGAAAACATGGCTATGCCAGATGGCCTGATGGAAGCTTGCATTTTTGGGATTGGCTGGTGGGATGATCGATGCTGCTCCTCCCCATCATCTTGAATTGTATATCATCTTTTTATATAGAATTGTTATTAGTTATTTTAAAATGGATATTTATATTTTTATTGTTTTTACTGTTTTGGATTTTAATTGTAAGCCACCCAGAGTCACCCTCGGGGGGAGATGGATGGCATATAAATTTAATACATACATACATACATACATACCCAATAGCAGGACACTTTACTGGTCTGGTGTTGGAGAACTGACTTAAGCGCCTGTTAATTTCACCCCTCCTCGTTTGTTGAAGCTATAAAGCAGTTAAGCTAGCATATCCATTACAGGAACTGAAATTCAGGATCTGGAAGGAGGAGTGATGCAAGAATTTCCTCCACTGGAGAAACAACCACAGCAGCTAAATACACACTCTAACTTCCCAGAGATTTCAGCTATACTAGCTTGGTAGAAAATAAATCAGCTTAGCTTCACTATACTGCTGGTACATCATGAGAGCCCAGAGTTCTTACCTGCATTCATACTGGTCCAGCAACTTTACATGGGTCATCATACATTTGCAATATTGGGTTATGAACACTCCAGTATATAATATACCAGAAACAAATGAAATTCTGGAAGCATTTTTGGATAGCTACAGCTTGCTGTTGTGATTCACACATACATACAGTAGGTAACCTCATGCTTATGCTACTGTAATGCAGTTATGTGGAACTGCCCTTGTACTTGATCCAGAAGCTGTTATTGGTACAGAATGTGGTGGCCAGGTGGAATGGAGCATGTTGTGAGCATACTATATTATTGCTAAGGCAGTTGCCCTGGCTGCTGGTTAGCTATGAAGCCAAGTTCAAGGTTTTGCTGTTGATATATAAGACCCTAAACAATTTGGATACCTGATAAATCTCCTTTTATTATTACAGATTGAATCAGTTGTTTAAAATTGTAAAGATTCTGTGTGTGCCAAGGATTGCAGAGTACTGTCTTGCAGTAACTTGTGCGTGGGCTTTCTCAATGGTGACCATTCATTCATTCATTCATTCATTCATTCATTCATTCATTCATTCATTCATACATTCATTCATCTGTATTTTGGTCAAAGACCAGCACCACAGTGGTGGTGATGTTTTAATTATTGTAATTCATTCATTCATTCATTCATTCATTCATTCATTCATTCATTCATCTGTATTTTGGTCAAAGACCAGCACCACAGTGGTGGTGATCAAACAATAACACCATAAAGAAAACATCAGTGGTGATATTTTCACTCTGAAACGTTCTCCTTTTCTGCAGTTCATAGGTTATTCATATTAACATCTTTTAAGTACTGGTGAAAGATCTATCTTCTCTCCCTGTGTGAATATTGTACGTATGATTTTGTTTTTTTCCAATCTCCTTTTTCTTTAATGTTTTTAAATTGAATATATCACATACAGTTTTAATTATTGTAATTTGTACTGTCAGTATTATGCAGGTTTAACTGATTGTAAACCAGTCTGAGATTTAGTATAATTGGAAGAAATATACTAGTATATTAACTAAATAAAAAGTTTTAGTATAAGAATCAAATATGTATTGTTTTATTTTATACTCCAAAATGATTGACAATTTATGTTATAAATATGAGCCTGTCCTCCTCAAGTGTGGTGATTTAAAGAAGTTCAGAAGATTTTGTTTTGGTTGTGGACCACAACTTGTGGATATTTGAAATTTTCACTTATGGGTGATAAATTACTATGTAGTGTTATATGACTTGATTGAATTACTAGGAGTTGTTCTGCTTTTAAATATTTCAAATAAATAAATACATGCATAGATTCAAAAGGAGAAAGAAAGGTTTATAATCTTTGAGCTCCACAATCCCATAGAAAAATACAGAACTTCAGTATTGCTTTCTTTTAAAGGTAAATTGTTGCATGTTTATATTAAATTGTTATATTTAGTTTTCAGATAAGTTCTATGGGTTTTTAATGGGAAAGCTAGACATATACTTACTACTCTTTTTAATTCATTAAGTATTTTGCTGGCTCTCATCACTCTTAATAAAATTTGGATGTTCTTAGATAGTAGTTGAAGCATATATTATAAGACATTAATGTAAAACCTGTTTATAATAGGAAATACTCTATTTTTCAGAGAAATGTCCTCCTTGCTTCCTTTTTGGAGACTTCCTCCCTTCCTTTATTGTGAGGGGATGAACTTCTTCCAAAGGAGTATATAATTAAAAAATAGTTATAAGTTGGTGTGGTATGGGGGTACTGGTGGTGATGATGGTAGAATGAGGAGAGGCATTGTAAAACATACACTATGATTGTACTTGCAAATATTTTAGTGTACCAGTTGGGAATAGCAGTTTTGAATGTTGGGTTGACATTACTTGATTAATTCAGCAAGAGTTACACAAACTTCTGATTTATATAGCTGTACCTCCCTTTTTGTAAAAAATAATAGATCAGAATTATCAAGCATACCCTAAACAGTTATTTTCCTAAAGTATTATATCTCAGTAATATTATCTTCCTGGTTTGAGCAACTGTTGACAAAATTGCAAAATGTAACTTACTCATTATTTAAATATCTCCTTTGAGAAAAATTATAGTGGCTTTAATTGCAGGCATTTGTTTGAATGCAAGTTGAAGTATGGAATTAAAATTTCATGTTATGGGTGTAGATGGTGATGCTAAATCATTTGACTCAAATTCTGAAGATAACTTTTACATGTTTATTAACTCAGAGGGAACACACTATGAAAAAAACTCTTGATTCAGCTTTAACCACTGTGCTTTGTATTAGCCATTTTATAAATAGACAGGTCCCCACTAATAGCCATTTTGTGAAAGCACCCACAATATTTTCTCAAAACAGCCCATTCTCAGTTAACATCTTTTCCTCTTCTATCTTATATACTTTCTCCTTCCATTTTTTCTGCTAGCCTATGCTCTGTTTTTCAGTTCTTCCATTTTCTTTGATTTTGTTATTTTATCTTTCTGTCTTTTGCTATCTTTACTTTTTCTTGCTCTCTGAGATATGATGGGTTGTACAGAATAGTTGGCTGCCATAAAGTAGAAAAGCTGGCAACAACTTCAGTAAGAGCTGCTGAATGCAGGGAAAGAAGAAAACAATGCAAATGTTGTGATATAGGTATTTTCTGTCTCCAATTTTTATGGGGCTATCTGAGCCTTGGATGTGCCCAAAGAAGCAGGAAGGAACAGCAAGAAATCTCCTCTTGGAATTCCTTGGGAGGCAGAAAAATTTCAGTATAAGAGCAGTAGAGATTATGGCATTGCATTGTGCATTTTGGTTGTTAGGGCTGACTTCAATTTTGAAAGCCCCTTCAGCAAAAGAGGTGCTCTTGGGTGTGGGCTTATGTAGGTAACTATAATGATGTTTGGCTGTTTTAACTTCCCACAATGCCTATAGTGATGCTAAATTGCCAGGATAACTATCAGTGACTCATACAGTACTCAGTTTGGGGGGCTTGGATTCAACTGGTATCATAAAAATGAATCATTGAGGACTTCTAGTCATCTTCTTTCTTCATTTATTTATGGTTCCAAATAAATAAACACAGGTATACAATTTAAATTATAGAAAAACCAAACCTGAAACAATGAATAATGAAAAGAGGGTGCCAAGCGACTTCTGCAAGTGATAGATATTGCTAGAAATTTGGCAACCTATTAATGGTTGCCCAAGCTAACCTTCCACCTTGCAGAAGGAAGACTATAACCTCTTGAGCAGAAAGACAACTAAAATTTCTGACAATAGGGTTTATGAGTGCCAGCCATGTTTCATTTTAAAGTGTCAGTTTGCTGTATAGGTAACAGAAAAACAAGAAGTATTTAAATTGATTGTTTTGAAGATGAATTCCTCCAGCTTGGAAAGCACTTTACACAATTAAATATGCATAATAAATAATATACTTGATTATGATGAAATGGACCTAGCAAGTTGATTGTTCATAATATGATTTATTATTATGTGTTGATTTATGTTAAATTATTCACAATGATATTACTTTCTTTAGAGACCTTTGTATAATCTGTTTATTAATCCTTACTAATCACATGCTTTCATTTGAACCTACTTGACTAATCAGACCTCTTTTGATGTATGTGTGAGAGCTAGTTTTGGGAAGATCAGAAGCGAACAGTCTGAATCTTGACTAATCTGTTACCATAAAAAGTAGAAGGCATCTCTCCAACCCAAAAGAGAAAAGCTTCAAGCCTGTGGCAGTGCACAGGTGGGAGAAAAGGGCACAAGAGTTTGAGCCTTGATCTCACAATAAATAGGACTTACATTACTGTTATTTGTTATTTCTATTTGTTTTACATTTTTATATGAAATAAAATATTTCTGTCTTTCTTCAAAGTGGGATAAAATCATTCAACTTATATAAAAATAAATAGTAAGACGGCTACCACTTTAGATATTTTTAAGAAAGTTTAGGCAGAGTTCAATTCTAACACCTAAATGGAATCTCCATCTTCTGAGTCGATATATTCCTGTTTGTGTTAGTGTCAGTGTGATATAGTGATAGGGTGTTACAGTAGGACCAGGGAGGCCCAGGTTTAGTCACTGAGGAAATCTCAGCCCAATCTACCTCACAGGGTTATTCTTGTGGGGAGAAATAGGAGGAGAGAACACTAAGTATGCCACTTTGAGCTCCTGAAGAACAGATGGGATATAAGCCTAACAAACATATGTCTTGTTTCTGAGTTTCTTAAATGTACTTAGCAATGGTACTTGCACTAGATATATTATACTGATTCAGAAACTTTTCTTGCATTCTCTAATTTTGGATTCAACAATCTTTCTTCCTCCAGGTTTGATGATCCCCGTCTTTTGTGTGGTGGAACAACTGGACACTTCTCTTGAATATGATAATCGAGAAGAACATGCAGAGTTTGTTCTGGTTCGTAAAGATGTGCTTTTTAGTCAGCTGGTAGAGACTGCACTCCTGGCACTTGGATATTCTCACAGCTCTGCAGCTCAGGCACAAGGTACTCCATCAAAATGTTTAATAGTTGGGTGCATAAGAAGAGTTTTTCCATGGTATCTAAACATGGTATTAAAAGTAGATAAGGTAGCAAATTTTTATAATGCCCTAATGATAATCATTGAGGAATCATGTACAAACTTGAAAACTGCACTCCAATGGAAAATTATTTCTAGGTTTGTGCCAATGAACACAGTAGGAATTACTTTTGAGTACATATGCATAAATCAAGCTGCACATCATGAATACCTAATTGTGTATGGGTGCATTTAAACAAAGAATACCAGACATTACACCAAAGTTTATTTTACTAGTAAATGTATTAACAGGTGCTCATGATAAATATGAAAACAACAGTGTAGCAGTATTAATTTATTCTTCAAATAGCATGTAACACATGCTATTTCATAACTGTATTCTTACAAATAGAATCGGAATCAAGTTAAATTGTCTCATTTGATTTAGAGGATTTAGTTCCAGTTCTGACCAACTATTCAAAAGAATATGTTTGTGTGTTTTAAATCTGTAATATGCAGTCCAAACCTGATTATGTTAACTGTGGCAACTGATGAATGTTTAGAACCTTCTGTGTTATCCGGATTGGACTGCCTTTTTCCTTATAATATATGCATTTATCTGGAGAATATTCAGTGTCCTCACTGAATTTGAATATTTTCTTGCAATATCAGATGAATCTTCAAGATACAACAAAGGTTAACAGCCAATTAAATAAATCATAGTTGATTAATTACCTTTTATTTTAATTAGCTGATTTGATTATTGATTAAAGGGTTTAAATACTTATTTGGGAGAAAGGGACTTCCTTCTGAGTAAATATGTGCAGAATTGCACTGTAAATTTGCATAAACTAACCTGAATAAAAACAATAGACAAAAGCAGACATGTGTAGTTGTCAGATGATGCACATATGTAGTAGCAGAGAATCCCTTAAGATCAATAAGAGAAGAGAAAAAATTTCCTTACCCTAAGTTTTCTTATTATAAAAATAATACATTTTAAAAAAGTCTGCCAGGCATTATTATTCAGGGCACCCTTATAGTTGAGCCTAAAGTTTTTTTTTTAATTTAAAAATTTAATTTAGGCAACTCTCACATATATGCATGGAAAATATATAAACCAAAGTTTAGACAACTTACACGCAAAAAACCATTAGTGTCTGCAGGAGGGGGATGGGGGAAGCGATGATACACGCATCATGGCACAAACTCTGACTTATGTACTTGGGTAAGACATTGGGATACAAATACTGAAAGGGGGGGGTTGACACATATTTAGTAACTTTTTCATCATTGTGGCTGATGGTGGACGCCCATCCATAAAATATAAAGGAGCTTAAAAAATAAATTCATGCCATTTTGATAGAATAGAATGAAATTGTAAGTCATAAAAATGTAGCCTTAGGAAAACTGTGTATGCACATCAACTGCTATTTCATTATATAATTTAATAATGTGCAAAAAAGATAGCGTGTATCATATTTTATGCAAAAGTTGGTATAAATAAGAAAGTGAAATAATAATGGGCTATTAACAAGCTAGACCATGAAAATATGTTTTCATTAATAGTGGATTTGTGAAAGAATTCTAATCAGAAACTCTGATAAGAAATAAAAACATGTAACAATAGATCATATTGTTGCATAAAACTCGAGAAAAAAAATTAAATAATCACTTCATGGCATTATAGGAATATTGTTTTTTTGAATATAAAGGTCATTGTATCCCACTATTTCTGTCATGGTGAACCAGTTTTCAATTTGACAGCACTATTCATCTTGGTTAATTCATCTTGTGAATTAACATGTGGAACATTCTGAATTAAGCAACCAAGGCATCATTCTTGGCATCTCTAGAAAGAAGGTGATCCCAAGAAAGAATGCTTTTATGGAAGCATGCAACTTCTTTCACTGACCCACACTAGCTAAGCATTTCACTTGGGAAAACATATGGGCCATCCAACAAGGGCAGAGAGATTGAATTGGATAGGCATTGGCTTTTTCATCCTTAGGAAACAGTAGTTTGCTAGTACATTAAACAGGTGCATCTGGCTTGCAGATTTTTGTTTTTTCTCATGGTCCAGAGTCCGTATTTTAGGCTTTTACATGCTTACCGAGTGTTTTCTGAAAAACATTGAGAAATAAGATGAGATTTGCCATGTTCTAATCTGGAGTCTACCTTTGATAATTTTCACTATGCCACTTAAATGGCTAAGGGGGTTCCGTGGAATTACTTATGGTTAGAAGTTATTTAGCTGTTCCTTCTTACTACCCATCTCTGTGTTGTATGTATTCCTGATTAGAGATATAATTAAATCTGAACAAAACCTGTTATTCGAAAATATTTAAATATTTAATATTTCAGATGTATCACACACATAAAATGCATACTAATTAATTATTGTTCTGTTTCATAATGGGTGCTGAACTTGAAATTCTGTTCTTTATACTGTTAGAGTATTAATACTCTATTATTATTATTATACACACATACACAACAGCGTATAAACCAGTTGGGGTCTAGCACTGTGGCATTTTGTAAGAATAACACGTTAGTAAATAATGGATGGGACATTTATTTTGGCTGAAGGATTGAATTGACTCTGAAATGCATGTTTGAGACTTTGTAGTAGCATTGGGCAATACTCATTCCACTGTGCCATAAAGCCTCCAGTGTGCTTTCTCACACACTGCCACATGCTACTGATAATAATGGATGGCAGTTTTGAAAGGGATCCTGTATGAAACTCTCTCCCCAGCAGCAACCTTTCTTAAAAATATCCTCTGCCTGGCACTGAAGCTTTAAAATAGCTTTCCATTGTCATCCAATTCAATAAATAGTATTTTAAAGCCATACTGTAGGGCAAGGGGAGGGTTTTAAGGAGGTGTTAGCATTTCATTTTCTAGCAGTATTCCCCCTCAAAATTGTTCATCCCTGTATTGCAAAAAGTCTTAAACTATCCACATTGACATCAATGGAAGCTATTTTAAACCCCTGCTTGGAACAGCTTCTAATTTGAAAACAGGGGTCAGATACATCTGGGGAGAATGGATCAGAATTAAAAAAAGAGGATTTTGGGGAGCAGTATGGCACACTTGAGAAAGGTAATTGGGATTCTCAAAGCTGCTTAAAAGGGCTATATAAATATCTGAGGTTTGGATTAGGTCCACAGATGAGGTTTCCTATGCCTGTTGTTTATCTCAAAGATAGAACTGTCTTTTAGTCAACATTGCAGATTTTATATTTGAAACTGTTCAATCAAAATCATACACTTTTCACATAAAAAATATCAGAGAAATAATTGCTGCAGTTAACTAGGATGAGAATTTATGAATTCATTGAAACACCTTTGGAGAAGAGCACATGCTGCTGTTCTCTATGCCGGTATACCTGTTCAGTGTAGATATCTTGTTTTGATGTTGTCCACATTCCCAGAGATTTTGAAACATGAGTACTTTGGAAAAATATACCATCCTAGGTTGCATTCTGATGGAGAATATTAGTGTCTCTGTGAATATCTGAATTGGTTTCAACTTCTTGAAAATATACAAGGTGTAAGAACTGAATTTCTCATGAAAAGGAAAAACACATTTTAAGAACATTTTTAATGAAGTTACACTATCATGATGATCAGCAATCATGATTTTTTGTTTTTTTAGTCAAGGACCTTGAATGCATTTAAACTGAAAACAGAAATGGGAAAAAATATTTTTATATCTACTATGATTTGAAATGCCCACACTTTGGCTTGGATAGGTTTAACAAACTTTAATCTAAAATCCCAAACCTAGAATGAATCCTTTGTCATATTAATATTGTACTGTAGTACCCTTTTTATAGCCTGAGTGAGAGGTTTAGTGTCTAGAAGGTTCCTTTTCAGACTTAAGCTCTCTATTTTTACTTAGGGAATATTTCCTTCCTCTTTTTAAATACTTTATCAAGTGAAAGGAATGGTTATAAATTCTTCATACCTTCCTGATCTATCCTACACATTCTGTTTTTTTTTTTTAAACAGTCTAAAGCTTTTAGATAAAAAAAAGCAGTTACTTCAATATCTGTTTTTGTGTGCTGAATTATTGAAAAATAATTTATGTGTTATATATCTATGCAGTAAAACTGAGATTGGTTATAAAATGTAGCCAAAACTAACCAACTGATCAAATGGCAAGTCCTTGAACACTGATTTATGGTTAACTGAAAAAGATGGAAACAGTAGTACTTCTATTATTGCACAAATTTATTTCATATTGGTTGCAGACAACTGTATTTATAGTATAACAGTCTGATTAACATCTGATGAACTGTTGTATATTACAATATACTTTTCTTTATGCCAGTGTTAATGTGCATTCATGTTTTCAATAAACTATCAAAATGATTATATATATTTTTATACACACACTTTTTTGGGTGGTGGGGGTACCTTTGAGTCAGTGTTGATTCCTGGTGACCGCCTGGACATGTCCCTGCAGTTTTCTTGGCAAGATTTCAGATGTGGTTTGCCAGTGCCTTCTTCCTAGGGCTGAGATAGAAGGACTGGACAAGGTCACCTAGCTGGCTTCGTGCCTCAGGCGGGACTAGAACTCATGGTCTCCCAGTTTCTTGCCTGATGCCTTAACCGCTACACCAAACTGTCTGACCATTCTAATGAATCTGCTGCCCTAGCAGAGGTCCAGGCATCTGTGATTTACAGTTTAAACAAGGAAGTGATGTCACTATGGCAAAGGATGTATGTTAATGTATGCCATTTTCAGGTCATGTCTCATCTGTCCTGAAATAAACGTTCCATGTGTGGAGGTTGCAATTATTTGTGGCAAGCCCATGGTTGTGATGGAAGTCATGAACTCAAGCTACCAGACCCTCCTTCCCAAGACAAGGAGGCTGAGGTTACTCAAGATTGAAGCCTCATAAACTTTAACACCAGCCCTGAGACAAATCCAGGAGCTTGTAGCAGGCTGCTGCCAGGTAGCTAGGTGGTTGGTACATC